TTAACACCAAGATACATGAACTCCTTTAACACCTTGAAACCCATGATCCTTTCAATAGTTTTCTTTTTTCTTCTCTTAACATGCCTTCCAAACAACATCACTGATTTTTCCAAATTGATCTTCTGACCTGTCCAGTTATAGAAATTAGTTAATGCTCCTTTAACTTCTCTCACTTCTTTAACAATGGCATGAGAGAAAATGATGACATCGTCTGCATATAAGAGGTGGGAAATCTTTGGCAAATCGCAACCAATTTTGATACCGACATCTACATCATTTTGCTTAAAAGGATTGGTAAGCAACTGTGAACATAAAATAAACAAAAAGGGTGAAAGAGGACATACTTGTCGAAACCCGCTCTCGTATAAATCTAGTTTGAAATCTTGTCATTAATAATCAAAGAAAATTTTGGATACTCAACGCATTCCATTATCCACATAGAGAATTTCTCCGAAAACCCAAAATAATCTAAAACATTTTTCAGAGTATTCCAAGTCATGTTGTCGTAGGCTTGTTCCATGATCTAGAACTCCTGAACTTTTGAAAAACCTCTTGAGCCACAAGGATATGATCAACCAAATATCTACCATTGATGAATGCAGCTTGTTCCAACAAAACCAATTTATGAATCATTATTTTCATCCTATTCAATAGTATTCTAGCCACCACCTTATAAATTGACCTGCACAAGCTAATTGGTCTATAATGGCTCGGTATGACAGGTTCCACAACCTTAGGAATGAGCACAGGAAGTGTTTCTTTCCAGTCATCATTCATCTTTCCTGAAATAAAGAACTAATTTACTGCATTCCAGCAATCCTTCTTATTTATGTTCCAACAAGCTTTCATGAAGGAATACGAAATCCCATCATTCCCAGGTGAAATACTATCACTAGTTTGCAACACTACCAACTCCAATTCCTCCATAGATAGATATTTGATTAACCCTTCCCTATCATTCTCATTAATAGAATTATTAGGAATAGGTCAACCACTAAGAGAACCAACCCTTTTCTTCCATTTCCCATTAAAGAAATTTAAAATAATTTCAGAAACCTGTTTGTAATCTTCAGTGAGCGATCCAAAAACATCCTTAATTTTGTAAATACAATTTGAATTCCTTCTAGCTGAAGCAAAATAATGAAGGAAATTAGAGTTAGTGTCTACCTCCTTCATCCACTTGACCTTAGCTCTTTGCTTCCACCACGTGTTGAGTCAAGCCAAACCAAAATGAAGGTTAAAGATTTCATCTTCTGACAGCCATCCATCTTCTGATTCTTTAGATTGCAACTCCAGGATTTTAGATTTCAGTAATTCTTTTTGCTGATCAAACTCCCAAAATTTTGCTTTACTCTAGTAAAAAAGAGCTTTTAAGCTTCTTCAGAATTTACAGTTCAGAACTTTGGCAAAGTCCCCATAAGACTTCTTACTCCAAGCTTCCTTTACCACACCAAATGAGGCTGGATACGATGCCCACACTTCTTCAAACCTAATGATCTTATCAGAGAAGGAATTTTCTTCCAAGAAATTCAATAGGATTGGACAATGATCCGACGCCACCCTGGATAAATGCCTCAACACCAATCGATTAGCCTTCAAAGCAATTGGATTAATAAAGCATTTATCCAACCTCTCCAATATTCTAGCATTACCATCTTTGTTATTACACCAAGTAAATCTAGGTCCAATAACACTCACTTCATGAAGATCACTTCTCATCAAAAACAAACTCTTCTCTCTTGAGCCTTGAGAAAATCGAAAAGGTCTTCCCCCTCTCTTATCTTCCTTAGACAAGATACAATTAAAATCACCCCCAACTACTAAGGGATAGCTGTTAGAACCAAATTCGTCCAACTTGTCCCAAAGAAGTCTTCTGTGAACCACCTCTTTACCACCATATACCGTGGCTATTCTCCACCTCCCCATATTTATAATATCAAGATCCCCTATAATCACTTGATTGGAAGAAAATAACATAGAAAAGGAAGAAATTTTGAACTTCCAAAATACCAATATACCACCAAAAAGACCTTCAGATGGTATTTGAAAAAAATCCCATTCATTATCAATGAGAACATCAATTTCAAATTTACTGAAATTTGAAACTTTAGTTTCCAAAAGTCCCACAAAAAACACATTGTTGTCTCTCACCACCTCCTTTAAATATAGAGAAGCTTGTTTTTCCCTCGCTCCTCTACTATTCCAAAACAAGATTGAAGCCATTAAAGAACATAAGGGGAAGAGTTCCCCGCCTTCTCATTTGCTTCATTCTCCAATTTCCTTCCTCTAGGAAACTGGTTTATCGGACCAAGACTTCTGAGCATCTTGGCAAGCTTGATCTTGATGTTAGAAGAACTGCCTTCTTTGAACTCCTCCATTACATTCACAGCAAAGGCCTTAGGGGAACAACCACCTTTATCCATCGGTCTCATAGAATCAGAATTAATAACTTCTATATCACCTTTCTCTTCCCGAATAACAGTTCCATCTTTTCATAATCCTCAACCACCAGCTCCCCTTCCTCATACCAATTACTAAGAACAGAAAACTTGTTAACCTCTGAATTAACTTCAGGATTAACTCTAGAATCTTTCAACTTCAAATACTTGTTAACTTCCTATTTTGAATTCTCTGGAGCAACAGGTTCTGCCACCTTGCTGCCATTTAACAATCCGGAACCATTATTATTCTTCACCCTGAATTTCTTTCTTGACAACTGATTGACATTGTTATTGATTGTATTTTTGTCTCCACCAGTCTTCTTACCATGAAATCCATTTGCCTTAAAATATTTCCTTCCATAACTAACATGTCCATAAACATTATCTTCACCAGAGGCATCTTCAGTCATTTTTTCTCTAACCGGTTCTAAGAACGGTTCCTTCACATTGCAATCCACCTCTTTCAAACCTTTAGAGGTCATGCCAATAATCTTCTCAGGACAATTGTCTTGGTCATGACCAATCTTTCCACAACCAAAACAAATATTAGGAATCCTTTCGTATTTGATTTTTTGAAAAAATATTCCTGATTTTCCCTCTACCCACAAACCAAGCGGTAGAGATTCTTCAAGGTGGATGTGGACACAAATTCTAGCAAATTCACGTTTTCCCCATTGAAACATATTTTCATCTATTAAATAAAGTTTCCCTATCTTTGAGGCAATCCTACAAACATTTGTAGGATCCCAACAATGAAGTGGCAAATTAGGCATTCTTAACCATATAGGTGCTGTCAAGCCCTTCAATGAATTAGGAGAGAATGATTGACTCCACTTATCCACACCAATAATGTTCCCCTTCATATACCACAGACCATTAGCAAGCACCATGTAAATTGCTTCTTCATCTTCAAATAAACACAAACTCCACCCTTTTCCAAGCCAAGTTAGATTAAACTTATCAATTGGAGACCACTGCCTCTTGAGTTCAGCATTAACTATGAAATGTGGTATGTTCTCCCCAAATACCTTAACCACCAATGCATTCTGCAAAGCTATGGTGTTTTCCGAAACCTTCTCCTCACATAATTTGACTGCCATCCCATCTTCAAAAATGCAATTGCCAAAATCCCAATCTGAATCACAAATTCTTTTGTGGGTTTTCTTATGCCAAACATTTACCAGACCATTTCCAGGTTGTTCTTTAATTGAACTATCTCCAGCTTCAACAACATCCATAATAACAGGATCTCTTTCCCCCGATACACATTGTCGAACCATGTTCATGTCTTCAATCCCTTCATGCTTTCCATTCACAACATTGTTGTTAACTTGACTATATATATTAGATTCCTCCAGGTTTGCACCAATCTCAAGATGTTATGCATTTCAGCCACAGCAGCAGGAACAATGTTTTGAAATTTATGAACTTTCACATTCTTTGTAACCTCTTCAGACATTATCACACCCTTTCCTTTCCCAATCACCAGCGCAAATTTGTCATTTGAAATACCACCTTCGTTAATTACCAAAGGTTTGGCATAAATGGATGAATACCTTATTCCATGGCTACCATCTTTAGCCAAAACTCATGTATTTGAATCTCCAAAAACATGAGAGATTTATTATTTAGAAAAAAAACTTGCATCTCCGTAGAAGAACGACGATCTCCTTTAGGACAACCATCGGCATTAGGCCGGTGATTTTCCACCGCCATCAGTGGATTCTTCTTCGGCCGCCAAATGATTTTTGAAAATCAGTTTTCTCTCACTAGAATCCCACACCTTTTCTCACTAAAATCCCGCATAGTTTTCTCTCACTAGCATTAGGCCGCCAAATGATTCTATCTATTCATAATAACAAAAAAAATAACATAAAATGTCATTGAGAAGAAGAAGGGAAGAAAGGGAAAAACAGAGAAGAAGAAAATAAAGAAGAAGAAGAAGAAATGAAGATAAGCATGAGGAAGGAAAGGACGGATAAAAAGAATAAAGGAAGATGAGGAAGAAGCACGAAGAAGAAATGGGTAGAAGTTACCTGTGCGTGAGAGAGGGTCGGCGGCAGCGATCGTGCACCTAGGGCAGTAGGTCGACGACGAGCGTTGGTGGGCTTCGGGTCAAGCGAGAAAGGGGGAGGCGGAGGCCTTCGTTACATGTGCGATGTACGGAAAGTTATAGTGGGAGAGTTTCCACTAGATAAGGCAAACAAAATTTTCGTTTTGGAATAGATATGATGAAATGCAATAGTCAAAATAATAGAGGGCCAACATTTATTCAACAGTTTGTAAGCTACAATCAAAATCTTATGTGGGGAGACTCACAAGCAACACTAATAATAGCAGGGAGACTCACAAACGACACTTATAATAGCAATATAATAGTATAATATTTAAACATCTTTTTTTTGGAACATTTAAATTAATTAAGGCAAATTCATACGCACATCATATACATAAAACTCAAACTTAAGACCTCATAATTGATAGACAAAATCCCAACCAAGAGACAAGATGAGCTGCTTATATTTAAACATCTTAAAATATAACTTCTTCCTCAAGAAGGCTAAAACCGCACTTCGGTTCTGAAATGTTGCAGCTGCTGAGTTTCTTTACGGGAGGCACAAAAATGGTTCATTGTGGGTCATTTCCGATGCCTCTTCCCTTCAAAATCCCGCAATCCGCCAAACCCTACCGTTTCTGCAGTTTAAGTAGTAAAAAACCCTATTACTTCGTCTGCTCTTCTTCGTCGACTTCCACCACCTCGTCCACCATTTCGCCGGTGGGCGGCGGCGGAAGAAAGAGGGTTAGAAATCGGAAACTTAATCCCGGCGAAAAGGAGGGCATCGTTGAGGAAATGAGGTTCGTTTCCATGAGACTCCGCACGAGCGACGCCAATGAGGCGTCGGCGACAACCGCTACTTGGCAGCCTTCCATGGAGGGCTTTCTCAACTACCTCGTCGATAGCAAGCTTGTCTTCGAAACCCTAGAACGGATTGTTGAGGACTCCACCGATGTCACCTGTAAGCCTGCGTAGGTCTTCTAATTCAGTTTATTTCTTTTTATTTTTTTTACACTTTTTTGTGCTCTAATCTCTCTTTGGCTAAGGTTTTCTGCAGATGTTTACTTCAGAAGGACTGGTTTAGAACGATCAGCTAGTCTGTCAAAGGATTTAAAATGGTTTAAGCAGCAAGGGTTTGTCATTCCACAACCGAGTTCTCCTGGGACTGTCTACGCTTCTTATCTTGCGGATTTGGCTGAAAAAAGCGCGCCATCATTTCTTTGCCATTTCTACAACATTTATTTTGCTCATTTATATGGTGGCTGTGAGATAGGCAGACAGGTATGGGGCTAAAAATAGACTTTGCATTTCTAGTTTCATCTGTTTTAATGTTGAAACTGCTAGTTCAAACAACATTGTGAAATGTACCCTGCAGGTGGAGTTGTATTTTGACTTGATGATCGAGGGTTGAACTTAAATTAAAAAAATTGTGAGCCAACTAATGAGCTATGTTCAACTTGAATCTAACTTGAATTAGGCCAATCCTAGAGATTGCATCTGTTAGGTTGAGATTTGATTGAAATGTATATGCCTGCGTGTCTTTGAATGCATGAATGCCAATATTCATGGACATCTTTTTATTGTAAATCAATTTAAAATTGATTTGTTGTTCCACTTGGGTTGAGTTTAGATAACAATTAATTAGTTAGACTTAGCTTTCGGCCAATGAGCTTTGTCAACAACTAACAATTGAAAGCTTATGAATCATGTTATTGGATTGAGCTATAGCTTTTGATCACTCGTGCTTGATTTGGTGCTAATTTCTTAAATGTTTGACCCAAGTCAGCTATTAGGAGGCTAGGAAAAGGAGCAAGGGTTTGATATGCTTTTTTGGACTCCTAGATGATCTAGGAGAAAGTTAGGATATCTCTGGATTGAGTCATTCTACTATAGATGACTTTACTTTGTTGTCTTCTCCTTCTAGTTTACTTCTTGGATTTAAAACTTTCCTGTAATACAACATGTTCATTATTTCTACTGCAGGAAACAACAACATCAACTGCACTAGCAACTAGGCTGTTGCTAGACATAGAAACAAAGCAATAAGATATCAACAAGGCAGTAGTAAAACATTATCAAAATATTAATAAGACGTCAACAAGGCAACAATGGCAAACAACAACAACAACAACAAAAACGTCAAGCCTTTATCCCACTATGTGGGATCGGCTATATGATTTCTTTTTCTCTCTTGTGTCTTATTAAGAGTTAAATTCTCATTTAAATCTAATAAAGAATGTAATTTCTAATATTTTCTAACCAAGTCTTGTTAGGTCTACCTCTACCATTCTTAACATAAATTAAATCTTCTATATCTACTTTCTTAACCGGCTCATTTGTAGGCCGCCGTTTTATGTGATCAAACCATCTAAGGCGACTCTCTAATCTAATCTTCCACTAGAGCTACTCCAACCTTTTCACATATATGCTCATTTTGTATCCTGTCTATAAGAGTAAAGCCACTCATCTACCTAAGCATCCTCATCTCTATAACACTTAACGTAATATTATGCCTCTCCTTTAATGGCCAACATTTTGCACCATAAAGCATTGCAGGTCTAAGAACCATCTTATAGAATTTTCCTTTATGTTTGAGGGGACTTTTCTATCACACAACAAGCCCAATGCATTCCTCCACTTTAACCAACCAACTTGAATTCAACTAATAATGTCTCCATCTATTTCACATCACTTTGAACAATAGAGCCAAGATATCAAAAATGTGTGCTCTTATTAATGCCTTGATCACCCAAAGTCACAATCCCCCACTAGATTTATTATTACTAAAATTACACTTCATATATTCAGTTTTATATATACTCAAACGAAAGCCTTTAGACTCTAAGGTTGATCTCCATAATTCAAGTTTACTTTCAACTCTCTATAGTCTTATCAACAAGAAGAATATCATCAGCAAAAAGCATACACCACACCAGGATACAACCTTGTTGACCTCATTTTTGTATGAGGTCACTTGGACCAATCCTGACTCTAAATTAATTTAATCTCTAAACCAATTCAAATTCTAGGATCCTCCTAGAATTCCGACCTTAGGATCTATTCTAGATCTTAGGATCCTTCTAGATTCCATACCTTATGATCTACCTAGAACCTTAGATCGCTTCAGACCTTAGGATCTACCTAGATCTTAGAGAAATCCTGACTTTAGGATCTACCTAGATCTTAGAGAAATCCAGACTCAAACCCAAGGCCAAAGGTCCAAATCCCGAAAGTCTTTTTCATTGAATTTTCAAACACTTCAAAATACAATCAAAAGACCTATGATTCAGAGTCTATCACTTGCAAAGTGATAAGACATATCTCTAGAGGTAACTCTCCAAATTTGAGCCCATTCTGGGGTTTCTAACCCCAAAAACTAAAACAAAATTCAAAGGCTATAAAACCTTCAAATATTCACGGCCTATGCCACTAGACCTGTCATCCAGTATAGTCGCCATATTTTTGTTTGATTGAAAAAGTATAGTTTGAAAAATTTTAATTATCTTTGGGAAATATCAATTTTTTGAAATTTTGAAATTGAACTCCTCATTATAAATGATATATCATCTCGAAAGGTGAACATATCGTTCTCTAATGAGTTCAAATTTCAACGTTTTAAATTCATGCCGATTACTATAATCAAACTCAAGAGGAGACAACATATGATCCCAAATGATCAAAATGATGTTTGATCAAATATTTAACTATAATGATTGGGATATGGGATCATTAATTTTGTAGTCAGAATAATAATAGAACGATTTATCTTTCCAGAGAAAAAGGATATCGCTTATTATTACTCATTTAAAAACGATAATAATGATCGTAAAGTTTAAGTTTCCCAAAGATAATTAATTGAAGGTTTTGAAAAGTTTAATTTTGAAAATCTGGTTTGGGTTCTAAATCTCATACGAGTGCAAGTCATCGTAGTTAATTACATCGTAGGAAAATTGAAAATTTTTCTACGAATACTCTCGATTAAAATAGCGGTAGAAATTTATTTAAGATTTCAAAACTCAATATCAAAGGTGATAAGGATTGAAATTTTCAAATGGGAATGATTCAATATTGAACACTTATTTCTGGAGTCAAAGGAAGAAGGGTAGGTGTTTTTGGATTCTGAATTATTTCAGAAACACCTCAGCCTATCCTAAGTGTTGGGCTTGAATTTGATTGAAATATATTTTAAATTTGAGTGATCAATTTTATTAGAAATTTGAGATTCAATTCCCGAAGGTTGAGGTCTTATAGCCCGAGCCTGCCTCAGAACTTAAGTCTAAATTGGGTACTAAAAATCAGTGACCCGAACCTAGCTAATGCAAAGCAAATCTGGACTTACCCCGACCTAAATTAGGGAGCCAGCTAAACCACATAGGCCCTTTAAAATCATGTGTCCGATCTTTTAATGTTGAGTGGTAAGGACGTTACTTAAGATAAGTTTTTGAGAATAGGGCCGACATCTAGAGCAGATCCTAATTGGCCCTTTGACTTATGTTGGGTGTTTAATGTCTAAATAAATGTAATTAACGATTTAGACTCGATTTAATTTGTATCTAATGCGATGCATGTTAATTGACTCAATTAAATGCTTAAATTTAAAATATATATATATATTTTTTTAAATAAGGCTTAAAAAATAGGTTTTATCCTAGTAGAATGCACAGATTCCCCTTGGATAGATCTGCACCCTCATAGGCCAGGTGGTCTGCCAAAACCCGCAGGCGGGGAGGTGCCTAGCAAGAAGAAAGAAAAATGTAACAAGTATGCATGCGAACTCCCGGCGGTCCCGGGTTTACTTCTTAAATTTGTTAGAGTTGCTATGTGAGCTTAAATGTTTTAATTTTGTTTAAGTAGAAATAGTTTTGAATGAGTCCTTATGAGTCTACGATCGGATTCCAGGCTAAATCAAAATACGACATGCGAGATCGCAAAAAAAAAAAAAAAACTAAGAAAAGTAGGCAGATCCTAATCATAATCAACACATCAATCGATAAATAAATCAATTAAATGAAATTAATATCAAATTGAAAGGCCACATGACAAGGGAAACTTATTATTATATCCCAGAATTTGCAGAAAAGTAAAGTGGCCGGGCACCACTGACAACAACCCGGATTTTAACTCCTAAAAGACAAGTGACTTTGAGAATTGAGACTCTTCTCGACTTCCACTTCTTTGTCTTTCCATGAGCTTCTTGATCCGTCGGTTCAAGATATCCAAATGAAAAGAAACACCCCCTTGAAAAGGGGTGTTATCTTTCCTCTTTGGATATTTTCAAAATCATCCAAATTTGAATCTCTAAATGGAGAGGGACTCTCCCCTAAGGGATGTCTCTTCCTCTTTGGATTCCAAATTAGATGTTTTAACATCCCATTCTCAAGTTACTTAACATTACAACGTATTTCAAATCAAATTACATCAATTTAAAATAAAAATCTAGACTCGATTCTGCAGGGTTATCCTAATAATCAGCAGTTAATTAACATCCCAAGCAGTTATATTTAATCTCAAGCAGTTAATAATTGAAATTTAAAATGCTCAATTACTCACAACACAGAGTGCAGAAAAGTAAGTAAACAAACATATCAATTCTAAGCGATCAAACACCATGTAGTGAAAACTCAAAAATCATGCACACAGCGGAAAAATAAACACTGGCCTAGCCTAAAATTAGAGTTGGTTATCCTAGCAAACCATCTAAAGTGTATGAGGTAGGTCGTGTGGTTTGGATATGTCCTATGGAGGGTAATTTGTTTAAGTTGTTTGAATTTTTGATTGGTTGAAAGGCTTAAGGGAAAAATTTAATTAAAGTTTAAGTATTAATGATTTGAAATTGATTTTAAGATTGATTTTAATTATTTGTTGGATACCACATTTGTTTTTCACCGAGGCCGTGAAGTTTATTTCACCTTCCTTGGGGCTAAGTTATAGCCACTTAGGCCTGGGTTACCTAGTGGTACCTGGTATAATTAAGTGTTTTTATTTGATTAAGGTTTAAATGTTAATAAATTTTAATTAAAGTTGATTGATTGCTGGTTTTAAAGTTGATTTAAACATTTTTGGAGTTTTAAAGTGATTTTGAGTTTTAAGAAATTTTGGATTATTTTAATCATTTAATTAAAGGGCCAAAAGTTGACTTTTAAATTAAGTGTTTTATGGAAAATTAATATTTTATTAAAATACTAGATCTTAATACGATCAGTTAGACTGTAAGTGTGCTGAAATTGGATTTTTTTAGATTTAGTTATGAAGGTTTGAAGTTTATGCATTTATTAGAATTT